TTTTTAGTTTGCAAGAAAAAAATTTTAGTGTTGTGTTTGAAAACTTAATATGACCGTATGGAGTGCACAAAGGACTAGTATTTTATATGATTCTGAACCCTGAATGTTAGCTAAAGAATAGGAGCAATTCAACGGTTTATGCAATATTTTTTCTTGTCACGGAAAGCATTCCCAAAGACGCTTGAATGAACGTAAAAATTACTAGTTTGACCCTAAAATCACTTAAAGATGGTGAATAAGTGAATAATACGAATTAAAATTATCAACTAAAAGTAACAAGTCACTTTTTAATTATTCTAGATATTTAGTCAATCAAATCAAATTTATCGTATGTTGAATTGTCACAATAATAATTAATGCAGTAAATAACACAAAATTTATTAATGGAGAAAACCCTTAATTGAGTAAAAATTCTGGAACCAAGCCAGTAGTTTTCACTATAGACAATAAGAATTTATAGTATAATCTGACCTAAAAATCCCACCAGACTCGTTGATCTAATTCCTGCAATCTCCATGACCTGCTGGAACTTGCTTCACTCACACCTGCTCCCGATCTTCTAGAATTGTCTATCTTCTATGGATCATCAAGAACACCTTATTATCGTACTCTCCATGTGCTTTTGTCCAATCTCCCTCAAACTTCTACAATCTCTGAAAGTTATTGAGAAAGTATCTTGATGATTATATCTAAGAAGTGAGTGTTTTGGATTATATGAATTTGATATTTTTCCCAACTTGTGGTTGATTGATCTCAAGAATCAAAGTTTAATCTCAATGTTTGGATATGTCATTGGATTTTGGAATGATGTTATAAATATGTAAAATAAGGATCAACCACACACAAAAACATAGTAGGCATTTGATATTTATAATATGAGGTATTTGGTAGTATGTGATAGATAGAACTCTTGAAAATTGCGACTAAGGTTCACTTATAATACTGTCGCTCAAGCACCAGGCGAGCGACAGGTGTGTCACTCTAGCGATAAACGGACAACAACGATTCTATTTTTTCCTCTTGAGCATCAGCTAGACGACAGACTAGCGTAAATCCACAACTTTTTCTTCTTGTTCCATAATCGAACACAAGGACTCCCAATTCATCTATACAACCTGCCAATTGGCTCCTTGGACTTTTAAAACTCATTTACAACTATATTTTTGTTTAAAGATTGCCAACGACTATAAAACCTAACAGAATGAATAGCAAGTCTATATTAATTTGGCCTCTAGATTTTATTGACTAGCTCTTCATGGTACAATTGAGTTCTTTCAGAGAAGTTTCTTCTCTATCTTTTTAATGCTAGCATGAAATGTATATTTAGCAATTATTGTAATCTGGATTGTGATCGTCTTATGACTCTAAAAGATAAGATGTCAACTGGTATGAAGTTTCTCGAAGCTGATTTTTTTTTTTGCCTATAGCGTAAAGTTTAAAATACATTAATTCAATATGTGATGGAATAAATAAGTGCTCAATTTTAATGGGTTACAATGTGTGAAAAGATATGATTGGTGTTTGAGCTTGTTTTTTGTTTTCAAGGCCTTCACTAACTTCATCAGCTTGTCTCAAAGCTGCTAATATTTTCCTTTTTTTCCTAAACTCCTTCGCATTGTTTTGAAAGAAAAATTTAAATGAGAGGCTTGGTTGAGGTGTCATGGCAAAACGATTTGAGGAATATCACATAGATGTTCTCCAGTCAGAATTTGAACTATCCCAAAACTTCAACGAAGAAGAAGAAGATTAGCTGGTCACTACTACAGAATTAGATGTAGAGCAAATTACTCGCTGCTTCAACAGGAGTCGAGCCCAAAAGTGTACTAGGAATTCGATAGGGGACTTGAAGCTAACCAGGGCTCAGCTTCAACTAAAGCTGCATGCACTCCGGAAATGCCAAGAGAGGAAAGCTGAACCCCAAAAGGAGCTTCAAGAAAGAAAAGAGAGAGAATGAGTTTGGAGCAGAAAATTAGAACTTGCAAAATTACCTTGTAATGAATGGAGGTGAATCATATGTGTCACGCGAAAATATATTTCGAATGTGAACTCCCGCAAGTGTATGGATTGTTGAAAGTAATAACATGGGCTTTTTGAATCTGAGTATTGTTCCCACGGAGATTTATGTGATTTGATTTCGATAATATTAACTAGAATTAAATCAACCACGATGCAAGTGTGAATTACTAAACTAAATGCAATTGATGGTCGAATACAAATTTTATGTAATTTATGAATGAATGACGCACTAGGATCCCGAATCCGCAAGTAATAATTATTTCT